TAAAGTACTCCCACATCTCATCACCATCTCCAAAACCAACCTCCGGACCACTAATCTAAAGCATCTTCCTGAGCTTCCATCTCCAACTATTTAGTCATTATCTTAAACTTTACTGTCTTGTCCTCTCAACCCATCCTGCCGCCATCAGGAAATATCGTCCTGTGCGAGAACCAATACGTCAGAAGAACACGACTTCAGATCAAGCCAACATACAACTACTCCCAGTTGACCGCAGTTTCAACTTCCAGAGGTAATATGAGAAAACGATTGTCTCAAAAAACATTTAATCATAGCTTTACAGAATGAAAAACATGAGCAAATGAGGTAATTTACAACAAAACAAAAACAGATCAACCACATTTAAGTCCCAAAAACAATGACATCAATAACCAACCACAGTCAAAAAGTACCAATAAACTATCTATCGAAAGACGAAAAGACGACTACGTTGCGGCGCCGTTCAAGTCACTTCAGACAAGAAAAAACTATTTAAGGTCAGTGCTATCCCTTGACTTATGGCGCAGTAACAATGAGGAAGGAAGGTTATAAGTATTGACTAAAAAAAATATGAAGACTGACATTAGATGTCCCACTGTCCTAAAATATAAAAAATGTTCCCATCACATTTATAAAATATTCTAAAGCATAACTCATTCAATTACTGACCAGGTACGGTAAAAAAGAACAACTAGGAAGTGATCCACTATTATGTTGTTTATTTCTGTAAGTCTACGTCATTTGCTAGTGGCCTGTTCTAGGACTTTCCACTTGCACCGACAGTGACAGAGCCCATGAAATAGGCCATATTTCACAGAATAAAGCCCATATGAATATTCAGGTCTGGCACTATGATTGTAATAATCCTAACTAGATTAAAAAATTATTCCAGCTTTAAGTAAACAGTTTCAGAATGCATCTTAGTTTAGCAAAGCTGAATAAAAGTATAGATTTTAAATAATGTTATGACTGCTGCTTAATCGAAGTGTCAAAGTTAAAAAAACCTAAAACAAGAAAATGCAAGATGAGGCTCAACCCTGTCTGGCAAAGCAGCCGGAGGCATCTAGCGGTGCCCTAGAATTCCTGCAACTGACAGCTCTAGAAGGAAAAAACACAAAGCGAACAGCTGAAAACGCCAGTTTAAGAGGTTGAAATAGCGAAGTCAGATAAATTAATTCTCAGTTGGCCAGAAATAAAGAATGACCATGAGAGCGCTTAAAACCACCTAAACTTTGTATTCTCACCTCAGTTCTTCTTTTATTGTTAAATTGAACACAAAATGCTACGCAACACATAAAACGGTAAAATCTTACGCGTTTAAAGATTTAGTACTGAATAAAGTTGGCAGAACAAGATGAATCGACAATAAAAAATTTAGGGGAACATCCATCAAGATATATAGCCCCATAATTTACTCATCAATCCAACATTTTTTACTGGTTGCTGAACACTATCAACCTGGAATAAAAAACTGAAAGTTAGTAAACAACAAATATATGCAGCTGTATGTAATACTAAGAAACACCACTCACTCGGTACTCATTATCAGCAACGTTATAAGATGCATTTAAAGATCGTATCCCAGCTCTGCTGGCATTGGACAACCGCGATGGTCGATATGAAACATCCAAAGGAGAACCGCGGTTGCTAGACCCAAGTGGTGACGAAGCAGCTAACAATGATGTGTGTAACGCCCTGGCCCTAGAAACATTCAAGTTCTCACGATCCGTACGCAGAGAGACATCACGTGAGGAACAGTTTGTAAAAGCAGCAATTTCCTGGAAAAAAAAATAAACCACCTTTTTACGCAGAACAGCATCAAAAATGCTTTTTTTTTTACTATTGAAAACAACAATCATTTAATTAAACTTGTAACAGAAGTTATTCGTAGATAATTAAAAAACATGACAATATACAGAAATCTCACCTCAGTCCGAACTGGGAGTACACCTAGGCGCATCCGACCGTTAAAAACGTGAGCGTTACGCGATAGGGCTTGCTGCGCGTGAATTGGGCAAGCATATCGTAAATAAACCCAATTGCCCTCCTCAGGGAACTAAGAATGAGAGAAACAAAAAAACGACGTTTTCCACAAACTCAGGTCTACAAAAAACTAATTCCTAAAATAATCACCTTTTTTGCAACAACTGTCCCATGCCTCGAGAAAATCTTCAGCACCTCTGCAGCATCGCCCGGCGCAAAACCGTATACCATGACCCAATTCGCTGATTCATCTTCTTCAGCACTGAATTGTAAATCTTTTCAAAAACTTAAATTTTTAAAGAATTGAAACCACGTAAAAAGCCAAGTAAAAATACTAGCAATAAATTTATCGAACGGTTGATAAGATTCAAAACTAAAACAATGTTGTTAGCAAACTTTATTTACCTCAACATAAACTGGAAAACTTAAAGGGACCTACAGAAGGCCGTTAAGAAAACAGAACATATCGTAAAAAGCCATAATCGTACTTACGGCGAAGTGTCCATGGCGGATGTACTATCCATTGGTTCCACAAGGGCTGAATTTACAGGCGCGGTTCTCATTTGATCAAGTTCTTCTCGTATTGACCGCAGAGGCGGACCTTAGCCAAAAAACTTTTAAAAGCACGATTACACTCATTGTTAATTAAGAAAAAAAAGATGAACTAAGAAATCAATAATAACACATACCTAAAGCCTGAAGTGACGTAAATGACTCATCAAAGAAGTTTTAAATAACGAAAATAGTACAGCTTCTAAAAAAATTTTTTCAACCTAGTTTTGCGGGCGCTTCGCTAGACACTAAATCACGCGTCTTCGACGGTGATTTCTCCGATGATACTAAAGCAGGTGACCAGTGTACAGTTTTGCTTGAAGTTTCCAGGGCTGAAAGACAACAATAAATAAATTGTTAAAACAAAAAAATAAACAATAAAATCATCCAGTACAGTAATATTTATATGTCAAGATTTGGAAACAATTAACAAACATAAGGTAGCAGGTGGGAAAATCACTCACGAGTGATATACGAAGGCAAAGGCGATGCAAAATTCATTCCTTCGTCCCTCTGATTTCGTAAAGAAGACCCCAAGCCTGAAAATAAAAGACATAAAAAAACTTTTTTTTCATTGAATTCAACATATAGTAAAAAAGGCAATTTGTGATTACTAAACAGAGAAACTGAACTTCACGACACCTGCATAATTATGTCCAGAAGGTAAAGCCAAACTTCGTCTTTTGTTTTGAGCGCCGAAAAGGAAGTTTGGGGTGGATGGTGATGAAACATGACCGTTTAAAGCAGTGACTTGATTACTATCTGGAGTCGAATTCAGCAGTAAACTATTTCTTCGCCCCACACTTGCCCTCCTTTCTATGTCTGGGTTAATCATTTTGTCCGTTTTTTAAGTTACGGCAACTGGAAATAATAAGCAGCACACTTCACAACACAGCACCAGTCAGATGAGAGGTGGATTTCGTTTTATACCGCGAAGACTACAAGAAAAAGAAGTGTACTGCTAACCAAAAAAGTAGACTCCATAAAATCAGCACTCTGACATTCATTGAGAATTTACCTGTAACTATGGTTGGAACTCATAAGTACTACTAGGAACCAAATAGGACTTCTTAGAAGTTTTTAATAACAATTACAACTACACCAATCATGTCATAAAGTAAAAATAACAACAATAACAATAACAAGAGAATTACTTTTTAAAACCGACTTATTAATCATAAAGAAATATAAAAATAAAAACAAAAAATAAAATGAAAGCTGCATTAGTTTTTGAGCAAGACTACCACGATGATCTAGCAAAAACTATGCCAACGCATTAAGCATGATGTTATAGGGTTATACTCCATATGCTAAGTTAGCATCCAGAAAAAAAAACAGTCTGCAACCAAATCAACGTTAGATCTAATTATTAAAAAAACTTCCCAGAGATATTACAAAACCAAGTACTTATCAGCAGAAATTAAAACATCTGTTTAATTGAAACAAAAGTTGCCACTACCTCAAAAGATAATTAATACCAAAAAATGAGAAAAAAAATTGATGCACATGACGTCTTCCAAAATAAGATACATAAAAAGCATTAATTAGCAAATCAGTTCTTAAACAGCTAGTGCAGAGGAATTGAAGAAAAAACTCGAGAAAACATAATAAGTGACAGCTGGTAACCTAAGTTACTGGCTGCAAATTACTACTAAAAAGTAAAACAAAAGGCAGACACCGAAATATAAAAAATGGTAAATTATGACGACAGCAGACAATAATTGCGCAAAACATTCTGTGCGTGAAACCGTCTGCGTAGTCAGTTTAATTACGCGCTTCCGAAACGAGGCAAATAGTTCGTTGCAAAACCTTATGTTATAATTTGCAAGAAAATTACAGCTTAAAATTAACTTGAAATTCGAGAATTGAAAAGAATTATCAATTTTTGAGAGCATTTATATAAAATCACATATCAAAAGAACCACTGCTGGAAAAAGTTCAGAACTGGTCTAAAAAAGCAAAGATGACGAACCAAGCTTAGCATGTCGCTAACCGTTTAAGCTGGTGTATAGAGGAAAACGGCAAAGTATAACCAACGGTATACAGGAGAAACAGTCTCAGCTACTAATTTGGACTGACTTGTATGGGTAAGCTTTCATGATCACTGGTGAACTGTTAACATACTTGAATGTACCATTCGTTGTCTGCACTGTTGATTTATGCAGTCGCCTGGAAGCAAATGATGCAAAAAAACCTTCATGTGCAATTAAGTGAAGGAACTTTAATTAGTTTTAGTTTTGTAATTACGACCGCATTACGTGAAAGTTTTGTCACTACTCTTTCAAGTAATGATGTCTGTAGTAACCATAAGAGTTCTCTTGAGAGTAATCTGTTAAAAAAGTTTTTTTCAGAAATTTTATTTTTACTTGGCGATTTCTCCGCATGAGTGCTAAGGTGTTGTTAAACCTGACCGTTGCAGAGCTACATATGATTTTAATCAGTTGCTCAAGGCATAACAATATTTTTGTGTGTAGCGATAGGTATTCACAGTTATAAAGTTTTGACGTATAAATTTAGTCAGAATTGGTTGCATTCCTCCATTTTTTTCAATAACTCAAAGTGAGCCAAACTTCACAGTAGTTTAAATGCTGGAAGCAGATTTGTTTTTTGGGTAAATCATGTAGAAAATTTAGATTAATCACAGGGATCTAAGCAAATTAGAACGTTGTCCAATAAAATTTTTTCATTCTAAGTTCCAAAGTAGCTTCGTCAGACACTAAATCACGCATCTTCAACAGTGTTTTCTTCGTTGATACTTAAGAAGGTAACCAGCGTACAGTTCCGCTCAAAGTTCCTACAACTCGAAGACAACAGTGATTGTTAACAACGAATAAAAAGCAAATCACTGAAGCAAAATAAAAATCAGTAAAGTTACCTATTATCTATATGCTAATATTTGAAATTAACTACTGGATGCGAAGTAGTAGGGAAAATAACCTACGCATAATATACAAAAAAAAGGAAGCGCAAAATTTCTTCCTTGATCCCTTTGATTTTGTAAATAAGGTTCCAAGCCTGAAAACAAGAAATGTAAAAATATTCTTTGTAAAGAATACACATTTTCAACACAGTGAAGCGTGAATTTCCACTTGTTGGAAAGTTAAAATGACCGGTATTAAAGTAAGCGAGGAAATTTTGAGGAATTGAAAGATATTAAGAAAACTGCAGAGGTTTTCTTTAAATTGAGAAATTAAATTTTTTCCCTCATCTGTGAAACTTAGCAGTTGTTTGTCAGACGATGAAAAATTAGTAACCTGACGATAGTTGATTCTGCTGGTTTACTGTGTCTTGGAAGGGTAGCTATTGAATCCAGTAGACATTGAAGTTTACAACATCCTAAAAATCGTCAAAGTTGTCAATTTTACCAAAAATCATTTATATCGACACAAAGTAGAAACAGTTTTTTTACAGTTTTTTCTACTGATAAAATCTACTTTTTTCTTTATCTCTTTATCTGTTACGCGGTAGCCAACATCTGGAATTTTTCATGCCAACCTTACTTATCTAATTTATGATTAGGTTGCAAAGCTGAACTTGGTATGCACCAAATCTTCATACAACATGCAACTGTCTTGCTTTTAAACCTGAATTTCTGGTGTTATTAAACTAATGAACAAAAATACTGTCGTACTAATGTCTCAATTTGTTCGGTTATTTGATGATGAATTGGCTTATGCATATTCAGTTATATTTAAAATTTATTCGTCAATTTGAAACAATGAGGCATCTTTTGGAAGTATATCAAATCATGACAATGTGATGTGATGATGAGTAGACCTTATTTATGTTTTTAGTTTTAATTTTAAACTTTTTTAGACGTGGATTCGTTTTTTTACTGACAATTATTTGTTCTCTCAAAAACATTTTTTTCTTTGGTTATTATCATATTCAAAGTTTTTATTCTGCTTAACTTTATGTCTTTCTTTGGTTTCTTATTAATTCCTTCTGATAGTGCTATAACGCTTGCAAACTGCTTTTTTTCCGTTTTTTCTATTGCTGCAAAAACGTATTTTTTTTTTTGTTTTTTTCTCAGTGATATCAGCAACATTTTCAAATCAAACGAGTGTATCTTGAAGTTTTTAATTGTTGACTTCCCGGTAATGTTTGAAAATTTATAAATTTACCTTCATATTATCATCAAGAAACCTGCGACTTAACTATTAATAATGTTGACACTATAGACCAGAATTTATAACAAACATCAGTAAATGATTCTGTTTTTATTAGCTTCCAACTTTTTAACTTTATCTTGTCGTTTGCCTAATTTATTCGTTTATTAATTCTGTTGTTAATAAAAGTATTATTTGTATAGTCAACTGTTAAAAAAACCTTATTTTTTTCACTGCAAATTGTCATTAAAAACGTGAGTATTTTTTATTCTACGACGTTGTTCTGTCAATGCATTTTTCTTACTAAATCTCTGATTTTATTAAGGATAATTAACTTCTGACAAGAATACTTAAATTTTTATTATCGCTGGTGTAATACTATCAGACCGAGAAGGTAAAAACTAAAAAATTTTATTTGGATACGTCTACAAGTATACTAGTCTTTATTTATTCATTTTTTTTTTTTTTTTGCAGACAATCGATGATACTTTATAATTGGATTTTATTGATATATCTTGTAATATCTGTTGCAGCAAAAATTTTTTTGTTCTGCTTTTAACAGTTTAATTTTTGTTAATCTGTTAATCAATAATTAAATCAACTTATTGAACAGTTTATAAATTGCAGTCGAAGAAGAAAAAAATTTCTAAAAAAAAATTTCTGTCTCAACAAAACTAGGAATTTGTTTAGTCAACAAACTGTTAATGTCTGCCATATTTTTGCCATTGTCAAAGGAACAGTGAGTAGTTCATAGATTAGTGGCACCACTTTATGAAATAAAAATTTCAACTTTTTTTCTATTTCTGTATTCAGTCAGTAAACTTGTCTTTTTCTTAACAGCCGAAGGTTTTATTTCATCGATTTATTAATGTCACAGGAAAGAAATTAAAGAGGAACAGCAAAAAAAAAAAAAACAAAAAACAAAAAACAAAAAAAGTACAAATAAAACCCAATAATTATTTTCCTAACATAAATCACTATTAGCACCATAATAATGATCAATGATCAGTAAAAACAGTATCACTGTATCAATTAGCAGTGTATAATTTGTTTGAACAACAACAGACAAATATAGGCACTGAAGAAATTTTGATATAAGATTAGCCCAAACAATTTACAAGAGCCTTTTTTGCGGTCTTCACTGTTCATCTCTTTTAAAGTAATCTAAAAATTTTTCAACAGTCTCTAGACTTTGTTTTTTTGTGCCATTTTTTTCACGTATCAGTTCCCTTAGACTGATCCGTTTCAATTTAGACTACCGATTAGTGACTGGAAAACAGTACTTTGTAAGCATACCGGTAACAGTGTCTTTGATACTATTCATTGTTAACAGAAAAAAAATTCTCGATTTCGACTGAAAAAAAAGCAATAATCAGAGAAGAACAAAGAAATTTGTTTGGGTTACATATTACAACAACTATTCAACAGTTTTTTAGACTTTTCTCTTTTTTTCAGCTCTGAAACTTTTAGAACAGTTTATATAATTTTGTTATTTTGGTTTTCTTGCTTACACACTTTTTTTTTGGCTTTAGTCTTTCAAACACTGAACGGTTAAAGGCATATAAAAGCGAAAATAAAATATATTTCTTATACATTCCCGGTTTTTTGCTGCTATTTACAAATATATCCATCAAATCACTGATATAATCACTAACGTAAGATGAAATACAAAAGAAAAAGAAGAAAATATTAAATAATGTTTAGAATAAAAGAACAAATTAACGAAAAACAACCTGTTTGACAATATTAAAATGACTAAAAAAATGACAATAACTAAAAAAGCCACAACAATGCTAAACTCTCGTGTTTTTTTTTTTTTTTGTTTTTTATACAGTAAATGTTTTGATATATTAAAACCAATAAATTAAAGTTTAAATATAAATCTAATTTCTAGGTTTTTTTACCTCGTATTCTACTGCACCGTGACGATGAGATTCATTTACGTTGAAAAAAAAGTAGATTTTTTTTTTTAGGGGGTACGGAAGGAGTGAACTTAAAGAAATGTACAGATCTGAAAACACCTTACTGTTTTAGTGTTCAAGACAGGTAAGAAGAATCAAAGTAAGTCAAATTAAAACTATCAGTAATTACAACAGTAAAATGGCAAAATAATTGTCAATAAATTTTGCCAACCACTTGTGGCCGTTTAGATCAACAAATATAAAAACCAGAAAAAAAAAGGACAGACGGACCAACTACCAAACCGTTTCAGTGAACTTCAAAAAGCACATCATAGTTAGACAGATGTTTTAAAAGCGATAGCAATACATTAGTTTAAGCAACGATTCATTCTTTTCCTGTTTTTCGTTTTTTTGTTTTTTTTTAAATACAATTACACCGATTGATCGACTTGTAGAACCAGAAAACATAAAAATTAAATCAGATAAAAAAAGAAACCAAAACAAACAACAAGAAAACCGGGATCACAAAAAAAGGACGCCAAAAGCACTTCTTATAACGTCAGTCATCACCAAGCTTTATTTATTCTTGACCTTCAAACCTAATCAAGATACCGGTATTGCTTTCTCACTTCGGCAACTATTGTACCCGATTTATTTGTATTTATAAGTTTTGCCAGTTGAAACAAAAAAAAGAAGCAAATTTTGCCGTCCTTTTCAAGTTGCAGTTGTTTGTTCAGAAGCTGCCGTTTCCGGTATACAGTTGGAATTCGGCTTTTATGCGGAAAACATTTTATAAATTAGCACTAGAGTAAAATTTGTCGATGACAAAGGTAGATTTTGATCACTGTCTATACAATTCAGAAAACAAACTGTTTGGGTTTGTGCTAATAACACCTGCTAAACGGCAGTACAGGTTGGTGGGTGTAACGGTGAATTTGATGAATGACCACTGTCGTAGGCTTCATCACATGCCGAATCTCGACCGTTATCATATTCGCTAACTGCTTGACTGTCACGACGTTCATGATGTAGCATGGATTCCAGCTGTGCAACATTTTCTTCCAATTCGGATTGTTCTGCAATTTGTTGCCTGTTCTCAACGAACGTTGTTATCCGATAGAATGTTGAAGAGAGAAGCAAAAAAAAAAAAAAGAGTGATTAATATCTGTTTAGCCTATTGTCAATCATTCTTAAAATATTTGCAGAATTTTCCGCAGATCAAAGACTAAAGATGGGAAGAGGTAAGACGAGGCATTAGGGTTAGGCATACGTGTTAATAATTCAATTTGTCGATTTTGTCGATTAATTTTTGTTTTTAACATAGCGTTTTCGTCGCGTAGTGATTGTAATTCAGAGAACGCATTCCGGTACTGAATCTCCCATGTTTCACCATAGATTCCCTGTGATTTACTTAAATTTTCAAGGTGATTTACCTGAAAAATAGAACTTCTTCTGTTAAACATTTTCTAGATCTAGCTTAGTTTATATCATAGCGAAAAAAGACAGAACAAGTTGTGAAGGAATGATTAGAAATGTTTAAGTAGTTATCATCACTTGAGTAAGGGCACGATCCAGTTGTGAATGTGCATCAGATAATTGCGTTTGTAGTTCTTCCATGGCTGCTTCCATCCCTTTACCTTCACGAAGTTTCTTCTTTTCCAGTTCCTTTGTTAGATCTTCCACTTTTTGTCGCATCTTTTTCCTGTAAAATCACTTTTTCAAAACACTTCTATGATGCACTATTTTTTTCCTTGCAATTATCCAACTATAACCATTCTTTATTTATTGTTTTTACTTAAAACAGCTTGTCAGCACATTGTCACAATAATCACCGTGAACTAATCTATAACAAACAGGTGCCATTGATCAATGAATTATTACTCTACCTCTGGGAAAGAGTTAAAATGTGCAAAATAAATGACATTCCTGATGTGCAAGCAAGTTAAGTTGGTTAACAAATTTAATATGGCCTAACTAACCTTTCTTCTAGCAACTCTTTCTGAGATTCCTGAACTGCTTGTTCGTATTTATTTTTCATTGCCTGTAATTCGTTATGTGCTTTTCGTAATTTTACCTCATAGTCATGACTACGATTTTCTTCTTCATTCAACGATCGTTCCATAACACTAACTTCGGCACTTAATGCTCTAACTTTTTGCGTCAAGCTCTCTTTCTCCTTAAAATTTACAATTTCATTGAGAATAAACTTTGGTTTTGTAAAAAACATTGTTTTAAATGAAACACCGTGAAAAATTGTTTTTTTTTTTTGTAAGCAATGAAGAAATTGTGGAAAATCACAAACAAACTTTTTCATGGCTTGCCAATGAAGTTTTATAGACTTCAATCTCTCGCTTTTGTATTTGGTTGTCTGTATGCGCACTCAAGACTTGCCGTTCTAATTGTGCAATTTTCTTCTCGTATGTAATTTGACTTTGTGAAATACTTTTTGACAATGAAAGGGGTGATGAATCCGTCTGAAAAAATTTATACAGTCAAATATCGCTTTTTTTTGAGTTCAGTAAGTCACTTGAGTAAAATTAATTTTGAAAAAAAAAGTGCAAATACAGATCCGATAAGCTTGTTGACATTTGATGGCAGAATAATTCAGAAATTTGCTTGAACATGAAACATAATTAGTGTGTTCACTAACGCATGAATGATAACTGGCCGAAAGTGTTGATGGTGTTCGCCATCTTGAATGCGTCCGTATTTCTGGTTCTGTTGTTCGTCTTACTGAATTGCTAAGCGTACGAATAGAGCTAAACGAGCCCATCGAGGTGAATGAATACTGTCGGCTTCCAATTCGGCTTGTACGGCCTGAGGCCGAGTTACCACTAACTTAAAAGAAAAAATAATGTTTTAAGTGGTATCATCTTTACACTTTTTTCTGACAAACAACTTATTTCTTCGTATCAGAGTTTATTAATTTAATAAATAATCATTTGTAGACAGTAATTTACTTTTAGCTAATAACAAATTACATTGATTTAGTCAGGAAAACCTTGTACATATATTATCGCCTAACTGAATAAAAGCTTAAAAGTGATTTGAATGGCTTACCGTAGTCTGATTCAACAGATGATTCACGTTCTGCAGAATCCAATTTAATTTTTTGCGCTCGATTTTCTGTCTCAAGTCTATAATACAAGTAAGAATTAGGTTTCTTTTAAAAGACTGATATTTATAATATTCAAAAGCTAAAAAAATAGATAGAATTTGAGAGCTGAAACTAATGCTGTTTTATACATTATCGCCTGATCAGAAATGACAAAAACCAATTTTAGTATTCCTTACTTGTGACAGGTCTTTTTCAGTTCATCAATTTTAACCATCAGATCATCTCGGCTTTGTTTATGTATTTTTTTCATTTCAGCAATGTTGTTTTCAGCATTTTCAATAGTTGATTCCAATTTTCCTTCTAGACGTTTAATTTCTCGATCTTTTTCGTGACAGGTTTCTTTCTACAATAGAAAAAAATGGTTCAGCTGCGCCAAAACAAATAAGAAAAAACCAAAAATTAAAAAATGAGAGAAAAAAGACAATTTTTTACTGCTGGTTTTTTGGTTATGAGTCTAAACCACGTAACTGGTCTTTAGATTAAAGATTGAAAATGCACATTTATAAATCGCATAAAATTTAAGTGTTTCTTGTTTTTTCTTGCCGTTTAAAATTTATTTTTTAAACTCATAATTCTTATTTATTAGGTGCTATATGTGTCTAGCAAAAAAATAAAAAAAAATAGAAAAACCAATTATATACTCCTACCAAACTTTCAGCTTTAACCGTCATTTTATGTAAATCCTGTTTCAATCGATTCAGTTCTTCTTGTTTATCAGCTTTTTCACTTTCAGCCTTTTTTCTGGCTTTCTTTTCAGCATTTACCAACGAATCACATTCTCTTGTCTTTTCCTACAATAGAAAAAATAACTATTTTGATGAAAAGAAAAACTAATAACAACTTAGAAAAGATAAGACTATATTTTTAGAAGCATCAATATGGTGATAAAATGGTGTTTATAGGTTAATTAAATATGTGTTCAAAGTTTACTTTTTTTCTTTGTACACGTATATCTGATAAGTAGAAAATATAAAAAAATGAAAAGTGTAAGCAAATTTTCGAAAGCAAAAAAGAACGAGAAGCAATACTAATCTTACGTTCATATCACATATACAACGCTGTAATTCACTGATTGTTTCTAACTGTTTTTCATTACGTTCTTTTAGCTGTTCGATCTCTTTTTCTAATCTGCAAAATAAAAAAAAAAAAATTGAGGGAAAAAGTAGAATAAAATGTTTTTGAAGTACTTTTTGTTTTTTTATCTGTAAAATAGCAAAATAATATTTAAACAATTCTTTAGTGATTCTGAAAACAAAAAAAAAGAAAAAAAAACCAGTAAATGAAGATTTTACGTTGATGTACGTGAAAGTTCTTTCTCATTTTCGGTGACCACAACATTGATTCGAACTTCCAATGCTTTTATTGTTTCAGCAGCTTTTTCTTGTTCATTTTCCAAATCTAAACGTCTGGAATTTTCTGCATCATATTTACCCTTCCATTTGTAAACATCTTTTTGTAAATCTTCTTTTTCTTCTTCCAATATCTGTATTCGTTTTTCATTGTCCCGTAATGCAGCATGAATTTTCTGCAAGATTTATCCATAAAACTATACCGGCAAAAAAAAGTTTTTCTTTTCTTTTTGAGGAAAGAGACAAAGCTAAAATATTGAATTACTTATACAGTTAAGATAACAGTTAATGTCTGTACGGTACATTAAAGGTCTGTACTCTCATTTTGTTCGTATAATATTGAATATTACTTTTTTTTTCGTTTGGAAAAATAATACTATCAAATATAGCAGAAAATAGCCAAAAATTTTGTGATGGGCTTTATCACTAACCATAACTTTTGCATGTTGTTCATCAAAACGTCGTGCCATGATTTCCATTACTTCTTCATGATTTTGAATTTCCTGTTGCAGTTCTTGCCGCTTTGATTCATATTCATGTCTTTCACTTTTCAACTGAAGTAGGAAAACAAAAAGTTTTTTTTTTTTTCTGGAACAAAACTATTGTAAAGTTTGATAAATTACAAACGATTATTTGTATTCTGTTATATTTCTTAGAAAGTACAAAACAAAAAAATAACTTATAAGCGCAACAGATCTACTTGATAAACAGTCAGCAAACGCTTTTTTCAGTTCAAAAAAAGAACGATAATTATTTATTTATTAAATATAAAATTACTTTTTGGATTGTTTGATTTGCATCTCCAAGAAGCTGTTGAAGTTCGTTACATCGTTTATCAGCTTCTTTGAGTTGCTACAATTGCACCAGCAATAAAAGCAAATCTTTAAAATGAAAAAAACAAAAAACAAGACCATAAACATTTGAATAAGCAAATTTCATATTGTCCATGAAGTGTTTACGTGAAATGTCTTCAGATCTGCTCAGGCAAAAAGGGGGAAACCAGGCAAATTCTGTTGTAACTGAAGCATATAAAGCATTAAACAATGATAAGCGATAAGCACTTTGAAAGCTAACCTCAACTAAAGTTTCATTTTGTTGCTCCAGGTCTTCAATACGTTTCCTGTCACGATCAATCGGAATCAACTGACGAACCATATTTAACAGACTACACCATTTCCAGTTAGCCAGTTCAGCAAATGTGCGTACATTTCTTTGAATAACCAATATAGCGTCCCTAAATTACGATAGTCGTTAAGGTGTGGTTTCAAGTTTACACCGCAGCCAATAATGCATATTAAAAAATGCTAACTTATTCGTTGTAAACAAAGTTTTCTTGTTTAAATTCTTATTGGTTTGATGTTGTAGAGGTTTTTTTGTATTTTCGTTTTTTTTTGATATTTTATTAGTTTAAAGCAAATATGATCAAAAATTGATGGATCAATATGTGCATCGATACCTCTTTTCGATTAATCGCGCCAGTTTAATCTGTTCAAGATGCCATCGAACTTGTGCCTGTATTTCAGTAATGATATGGCTTAATCGCTGCCTTCGCCGTGATTCTAGCTGCAGAATAATAAAAGCAATTACCACTGGATTTTTATTGCTTTTAATGAGAATTTTTTTTTTGATCTAAAAAATGACATAAACCTAGTTACCTCGCTAATGACACCAACTTTACAAAAGACTTTAGTGTTTCCAATCTGTACTACTGTTGGATCTAATCCTAAACGTTCACACAAGTCACGTGCGCCCTCACGATTTGGTTCAAGCTCCAAGAACGGCAGAATAAAACGGTACCGCAAAACAAAATCTTCGAAAGGCAACCTATTTGGATAACCTTGACGACAAATTCTGATACCTTCCAGTACTCCATTACATCTAAAGTAAAACAGCAGTATTGTTGTTGCAGAAACCTTATCTTTGCTCAAATAATACGATTAAGTAGGATATCAAATTTCAAACTTTTTCAAACAAAATTTTTTAAAATACGAAGTGTCACTTAAATAAGTATGTTTTTGTCATTTACCTTAACTGTTCCATGACTAGACGATTATCAATTACTCCCGGTTGACGATTTTTGTTAGGCGATATGCAACGAATGAACTGAGCTCGAGTCGTGTTCAGCGTCTCCAAAAGAGCTAATAATTGCTCCTGAAACTCTAAAGACTGTGACGAAAAAACGCAGAAGAAGTGCAGAATGTAAAAGCTGTTATCTTGTAGTCTTTTAACAAAATGCAATTTTTCAAAAGTATTTCCCCTGCTTTTTTTCTGCCAGTATTATGTGGTTAGTTACACCGGTTTTATAGCTCTATACAAACCTTGTAAACATAAGAAACGGTATTTGCGCATTTCGACTGCCTACGACCACGCTGCATACCGTCGTCACCTGAAACAATACCGATACATAGCACTTTGATTAAGTTGTTCTGCTGAGTTAGATTGGAAAAATTCTGGTATATAGCAATTCAAAATTGGTATTTTTTGAAAGCCGTTTTCTAAAGTGTGAAAAAAAGAAGGGGAGGAACAAAAAAGAGGGGAAGGGGTATTCTAAAATACTTACAATAGTTATTTGTTCGAATGGTGTTTTAAAGACAGAACAGATAAAAGAAAATCGGGAATGAAAAAAATAAATAAAATCAAAATTTTTGTTGTTTTTAATTGTCACATTATTCCACTGAATTATTGAACAATAATTGCAGTAGCAGTTTAGATTGAAATTAATAATTGCTTTTTTTCCTTTTATATAACTTTATTTTCAATTGCTGATAAAGCAAAAAAACCCTTTTTTTTTTTTGTTTAGAATTGTAAATAAGCTGTGAAAAGTTTAAACTATATTGAATGCAATAAAAATAAAATTTGCCAACAGAAGGCAGAACCCTAAATTAATATCTTTGGTTAATCGTTCATCAGCAATTTTTTTTCTCTTTAAAAATAATGTGCTAAACTTTAAGATTTGGTTATTAAATGTTTGAATAGAGCAGCAAAAATGAGAAAGTACAGCTGTTTATAAAAATGTGTGCATCTTTTGTCATTGTTGTTGTTAGAAAACTGTGTGTTATGGGATTTAATACTTCATATTTTTTCACTGATAGATTATGACATTTAAGGAGGTGAAAACTGAAGCAACAGAAAAGAAGAGTTAACGAGAAACAGTTAATATGCTTTGCAACTGAAAATGAGAAGAAAATTTTTGCTCATGTAAAAGGT